GACTCCCAAGCCACTCGAGAAAGCACACAACCAAGCATTACGACTAATTACTGGTGGGATAAAATCAGCACCCATTGATGCAATGCTCCTAGTTACAGGAAGCACCACAATAGGTTCCCTTATCAAAGAAAAGGCCTTGATCCTGAACGAGAAGCTACTGCGCATTCCCATGTACAAGTTCTTCAGCACCTATGAGAATAGACCAAGACATCTGAAAACGCAATCTGGTCTAAAACAGAAAGCCATAGAACTGAAGAAAGCATTACAAATCGATGACAAACCAAAAAGCCTCTCTCTACCCATGAATCCATTATCAGACATTGATGTAGTTGACACACTTGCTAAGAAGGGGACAACGATTTTGCAATGCATGGATCGGCCGACGTCTTTCCTAAAGACAAGGACGGAAAGCCAAAGATACTGGGAAGCAAGAAGACAGCTAATGAATTGCTATTAATTAACTGCTATATATGTACCCCCCCCCCTTCTTGGGGGAAGCTGAAGTCAAAGATTAAGGGCTAATGATAAATATCATAAAGCCTGCCATTTGAAATAAATAAATGTTCCTCCACTCTATGAAACCCGAATTCAATTAAAGGACTAATGAGAATAATAATAAATCCTGCCATTTAATATAAATAAATAAATAAATAATGCTTTTTCTCTCTTGAACCTTCTGTGTCTTTTGTACTTTATTCCAAATATATTACACATTCCGATACTTATTATAAGTTCAATTTTGAAGATATAAAAAAAATATTTGAATTATAATGAAATTTGAATTGATCAAGAATGCGTTAAAAGGAAATGTGGTGCAAAAAACACGTTAGGAAAAAAACATGTATCAGAAGAGATTTAATTTATTAGCAAAAATAAAATTTATTTTTTATCGTTAAACACACAAAATTGTATAAAGAATTGCTCAAAGTACAGTTAATTGATTGTACAAATCGTTGGATACAGAAAATAAAAAATGATCGAATTCTAATAAAAAATATCAAACATACCAGTATTTGTTGCATTGGCGAAGTGGGCTTTTGGAATCTTGATGATGTCCATAGTAGTGATATTTCTATTAAAATTAAGGGCAACCGCCTTCAAGCCAGCATACATAGCAATTTCAGTTCCAGAATCCTGATCATCGAGGACAGCTCCTAAAAGATGTCAAGAGAAATTAATTGAATTTGGGCAATAATTCCAACAATTAATTTATCGATTTTATTGTTTTCACAAGTTTCTCAAAAATTGAAGTCTAATATAAGGAAGTAAGATTGATAACAATTTGCACAATTTAGAGTCTGCACCATCAATAAATTCGAACTTCTTATCTCCTTGGCAATTTCGGTTTGACTACCTGCCTTTTCAGCGTTTACCATAGTTATGACCATTTTTAGTTCTCATAACGTATAGAGATTCAATTGAAGATAGCTATTTGGCACTGTTGTTGCTTTAACATTTTTGAATCTAGTGACAGCTTTATTGGTTGACGTTACCGATTCCCACTGTGGG